AAAAAGTATATATATATATATATATATTAACCTCAAAAAAAAAAAAAGATTTCAATTCGTATTCTATTACGAGCTACTTATTTACTTCTTTCTATAATAATTTTTCCAAAAAGAAAAAAAAATATTATATAATCTAATATTACACGATTACAATGACTGGAAAGTGAGTAATGTCTAGATCTTTATTTATATTGATGATTATAAATAATGATTTACTTTGTCATTATCAATCATAATTAATCGATTAAACATCTATTTATTATCTATATAAACCTATATAGAATATTTTCATCAATAAATGAAGAACTTGCATATTATAAAACCCATGCTTCTAATTTAGAGCAAACATTACTTGATACGCAGAGTTCTATGGAAGAATTCCAATCTTCGTCAAGAGAATTAGAAGAAGAACTTGAACGTGAATTGGAACAATCAGAAAGAAGATATGTTGATATAAAAGCAAAGAATGAAATGTTGAAAAATGAAGTAGATCAATGGAAGGTGATTGTCAAAAAATAATTTATTTGACTTGTCGTTATTATTATTAATTATTGATTGGAGCATATACATGTATATTTTAGCAAAAATATTACCAAGCTAGGTCTGAGGCCAATGTCACACAACAACAAATGCAAAGAGAACTTGATAGTTTAAGAAAAGTTGAAAAGACATATGCTGTAAAAACTCGCGAGTTGGAACTTGACAATGATGATTTAGAAAGAACAGAAAGGTTAGTAGGTTGGACAGATAGATGGATTGACAGATTAAAATATTTATATTATCCATATCATTTATATAATATTAATTCTTTCCTTACATAGAGCTGCAAAAAGTTCATTGCAAGATTTAGAAAACAAATATAATAAAGCAATAGAGCGTAATGCAATCTTAGAAAATGAATTAGAAGGAAAAAATATATTAATTGTCCAAGTACAAAGATTAAAAGATGAATTAAGAGGTAAATATATCAATTTTAACAAAATAAATGTAAATATACATAATATTATCATTATATATAACTTTAAATTTTTATCTAGATGTAAATATAGAATTGGCTATATTGAAAAATCAACAAGATGGTGAATATGGCCCACCACCACCATCAGCTTCTCAACTATATTCAATACATAAGACAGAATTATCACGCTCACCATCACATGTGTCTATCGATTCAAATTCATCTGATGTTAGTCCAAATCCGGTAAAAATGGTACAAGAAATGGTTGGCAGGGTCAAGGTAACTTATATATGTTATCACATTATTATTATATATATTTATTTTATTTATTAACAGTATATTTGTATTTAATAGAGTTTGGAAGCACGTTTAGTATCATGTCGTTCACTAGTTACACCTTTATTAGCACCACCCCCATCATATAGTACAACAATGCCATTACAAAATGGTATAAATTCACCCCCATTATCACCAAAAATTTCACGTTTTGATTCACCTTACATCACATCTCTGAAAGAAAAAAGACGTAATTCTGTTCAAAAATCAAAATTTAATATTTCACCTACTCCAACTAAATTAAGCTCATTTGGCAGGGTTTAACTCAACAAAACAATGATGGTATTATATTTTCATATCAAAATCAATAACAAAATCAACAAAGTAATGAAGAAGAATGTACAAAAAAAGCATGTGATTTTCTTTTGATTAATTTAATAAGGAGGTGGTGGATTAATGATTAATAACAATAACAATAACAATAATTTCATTAGTATCAAAAATAATTATAATTGCTGGATTTTTTTAATTATAGACTTTTAGCAACAATAAGAAAATCAATAATACTATTCAATACTTCCCTATTCTCCTACTATATATATATAATACTCCTAATACCCTTCCTTAATTTCTTTTTTCCTATTCTGCTTGATTTTTTCCTTTTTAATTCTGCTTGCTTATTTATATTTATATTATTATTCACTTGGATACTTTAAAAACAGTTTTAATAA